CGCGCTACTCCGTCACGATCGGCGTTGAGCCGCGACGATCGACATCGGCGGTCGTCGTCGCCGCGATCGAGAACCGCGAGGACGACGATTCCTCGCGGATCCGCGACGACGGACAGCACGATCATCACGGCGGACCACCGGCTGCGGCGGAAGCTCAGGGAAGATGAGAGGCGTCCGCGACGGCGGCATGGCGAGTTTCCTCGCCCTGGCTCTCCTCTGCTTGTTCCACGCATCGTACCCTGTGAACGGTGCGTATACCTTTGCTATTAAAAGCGTATAATCGATGAAAATCCCGATGCCACAAAATGTCATCACTACGTATCTCGTATCACCGATACATGCGTTTAGGATACGGTAAGATTGGCGAAAGTTGTATTTATATCGGTGAATAACAATGTAAATCTAAGAATGTGTAAAAATTGTGAGTAATAATCATGACCTAGCTTGATTATGAGAGAGAAATGTGTATAGTAGTATATGGTATTCTCTGGAGAAAGTTGGAAATATTTCTCTCTCTCTTTGTCGTGTTAATTATTTATATAGAATTTGCCAACGAAATATTATTTATAAAACTTGATTGAATTACAGGATCGATCGAAGTACCAGCATATTTAAAAAAAAAATTATTACATGATTCTAATTATTATTATTATATGTACATAATATATATATATATATATATATAACTCATACCGACACTATATTCATTCATTAATTCTGTGCAGGATATATTAATTCTGTGCATCTTATGTTATTACGTATATAGAAATATATATATATGATGCATTCAAATGAAAAGAATAAAAAGAACTTGAAGCTTTATTTCACATATGATTCTAAACAAAATATATTATTTTTGCAACATAACTAAATAAATACCACATCTTTCTTATCTAAAGATAGTATATTGTATTGTCCTCGATAACTAGATAATTGTGTACAAAATTATCAAAGATAGAGAGTTTAAAATTCAGTTTTTTGAAGACTTAATATCGAAGAAAATCACATACAATAATAAAAATGATGCAATATGATTTCGGCGAATCTCTTTTCTTGAACGCACTTTTGTTTGTCCCCCGCGATATGCTTTGTGAACGGATCCTATTTACCTGTGTATGTATGTGTATATTTTTTGCATGCGTGTATACGTAAAGTTTCTCTCTCTCTCTCTTCCTATATTTTTGTCGAGTTCTGTCTCGCACTCGTTCTCTCTCTCTCTCTCTCTCTCTCTCTCTGTAGCTCGCGCGTCCCTATCTCTTCCTCTGTTTCTCCGTTCCAGTCTCCGCTCCTCCTCTCTGTTACCGCTTTCTCCCCTTCGACGGCGCGCACATAACGTTGCGTAAGTAACGCGCCGTCGTGTACAGAAGGGCCGTTTAATCTCGTTGCTGCACGAGGTCCGAAAAGCATGCGGAAGGGTGAACCGGTGCAGTCGGTGCTTGTACGTCTCGTGTTCTCCGCATCTCCGTTTTCAAGATCCGCGACGCATCGGGACGCGCTTTAAAAAGGGGCTGGACGGATCAGCTACGTCAAAAGTTAATAAATCTAATATATTTTAAGATTCATGAATTTGACATTGCGCAAAAAACACACTTTTAGCCTTTTAAAATATGCAATTAATAATTAATTTATGAGTTAAAGTAAAGATTTGTCCTGTAGAATTAAAATCTTTATTTTCATGAATTTTTATGTATTGTCACTATAAAATTTTCGTGATACATTCACTATAAAAAAGTTAATTCGATATAAAATAATATTTACTATTTTAAAATTAAACTCTATTTTACAAAGCAAATTTTTACTTTAATTTATAAATTATTTATTCATTTTTTTTTAAAGGCTAAAAATGCTTTGTGCAATGTCAATCAAATTTATGAATCTCGAAATATATTAGATTTATTAATTTTTGATGTAGCTGATCTCCATCCAATTCCTTTTTAATTATCTCTTTACGAAAATACGAAAAAAAAGCTTGATTTTTTTCATGAATGTCGAATGCTCAAATTGAAATTAATATTTCAGATATATATTCGTTTTTATATATGTATATGTATATTAATAAAAGAAAAAAAAAACTATCAATTAACAAAGTTTGATAACTCCTTTTAAAGGCTAAAAATGCTTTGTGCAATGTCAATCAAATTTATGAATCTCGAAATATATTAGATTTATTAATTTTTGATGTAGCTGATCTCCATCCAATTCCTTTTTAATTATCTCTTCTTAATATACCATAATAACTGTTTTAACTCTTGTAAAATCTATGGCGATATATGCATCTTTAATTTTATACCAAAGAGCACTAAAAAAAGTAAAATTTTATCATTAATTTACAATAGATGAAATCTCGTACAAAATTATGGAAGAATATAATACTGCTTATATTCCTACAGTGACAAATATATATTTTCGACAATAGATATTTTTGTATATTGTTTATTTTTTTATTAAAGTGAACTAAAATCAATGTGGAACAGTGCAATTTGGATAAAATTTTATTTTATTTTTTACAGTTTTTATAGCATACAAAGATATCTATACAATTCAAAAATAGATAATTGTTTGAACTGTTTGAATCGTTTGAACCGTTTGAACCGTGCGATGCTTATGCATAATCGCTATATTCGCTTGACATTTACTCCGTTAAATAACTGTTTCATGTTTTACTCCGACTCGAGAGATAGTAAGCACAATCGGGCTTATATTATTTATTGTCCAGGTAACTGTTATTCTCTTCATTATGGATGAGCGATCGTTATAGCTTCTGATATTTTTAGATTACCAAATTGTTATTATTACGAACTTGTGAACCTTTATATACTCACCGAAGAATTTTCAATTTTAAAATGGTTTACAAGGTAAAAATTGCGCTTTTGGTGTAAAATCTATTTTTATATATAATTATTTTTATAT